TCGAAAAGGACGACCTCGGGCGGCGAATTTCCACCCCCGCGCGTCTGGCCGGTATCTTCGGTATCCAATTCCACCCACCTGACATTGGACATTTTAGGTATCTAAAATCCTCAGGGGATCACCGGCAATCGACATTTTTAGGTATCTAATCGCGTGGATATATATTCGGCGTCCCGCTTTTTTACCACTTTTTCCGGCGCGAGTATCATGCTTTTTAATGCAATCATATATAGTATATTTTCGTGTAAAGTATTTCCATGCTTCAAGGATCATTGATGTTGCAGTAATTTACTGTCACCTCATTTTATGTATACATAATACGACGTAACTTGATATTTTGTGCTGTTCCTTTAGGTCAAAATTCACATCGGACGACGGACTGTCCTGCAACTACGGAGGATATCGAAACATTAGGGACACTATCGCGCAGTGCCGGCGGGGGGATAGTAACTTTGTCTCTATACTTAACACTAGTACTTACTCCCTTTGAACATAACTAAAAATTTATCAATGGTAATGTAACAACGGAAACGAGAGATGTCACTCGTCTCTTCTGTCTCCACAACAACACCAAGGAGACGAAGGACCTAAGCTCCCCTCTGTAGCGCAGTCCTTGGCCTCAACGCTAAGCTTGCGCTCAAGACATGAAGTCGAAGTCCACTCTCGGAGTAGAGGACAGTTGTCGACGGTAATGTCCGGTTCTTATTTGTTGAATGTAACTTATTGGTTGAATGATTAACACAACACAATTAATTCGTAGAAAATTTATGATTACAGGATCCCTGTACACGGCGTCCTCTCGTGAGGTATGACAGTTCTTAGATTACTTCCACTCAAAAGAGAGTGAGTAAACGAGAGTAATTGTTTAGGTCTATGCGTTTGACTGGCGGCCAAAGGAGAGGATGTACAAAAGAAAGAAAAGAGAAAATCACAACGTGAAATTTGACTTCGATGAAAATGATCCATAGAAGAGTGGTTAGAGGTAAAAGTGGGAAGTAAGGACAGTAAGTGGAATCTACTGACATACACATACAAAGAACTATTTAGAAATGCCATAAAAAAGAAATACAGAGGGTTATTGTCACTACCTTGGTCCACCTGCCTCATCGAGAAGCAAGACGCCGGACTCTTGTGTGAGAGCGAAGACGCTCAGAAGCAGTGCCTTCGAGTACGATGCAGTGTCCGTTCAAAGGGAGTATCGGCTACTGGGCGACGATGCAGTAGCACACTCAAGTTAGTCGGACCGTGTTTTGAGTAGGTTTCTTGTGTAATAGTAAGACTGGAACTCAACAAGTCACCTCGATACTTTTGATGTCACATTAACATGAATGACAATGAACTACAAGGTAAAAGACATGAAACATGAAGACAGGTTGATGTTAAGTTTCCATTTGTACTTGATGAGGTTGCATGTAAATAAATTAATGAAATCAATTGAAATGTCTAAACATAACATGTTAGACGGGATGGATAGTACATAAAAATCCGTTATCCGGTATCCAGAGTCTATATAGGTTTTTATATAGTTTTTTGCAGATACTTCGACAAAACGAGTTTTTATGGTTTGTTATAGTGGGTAAGATCGGTACGGAGTATAGGGAGATAAAGTAAGGACAAGTTTTTCCGACTAAACCCAATATTTCGAAATTTTCTTATATATATGTCCCATATATGTTTTTCATCCCCACTCGAGTACGCCCTTGGGCCGTCGATGACAGGATGAATTTGTTGATTTACTGCGGCACTACTTTGCGGGTATAGTAACCTAATAAGTTCCTAACAAATACTTTGTCATACCTCGGAGTTTCCGAAAAGAGAGAACGGCAATATCGGTGTTCCCACTCAAGAAAAATAAAGGACGAAGAAGTGTGTGGTACGAGTGGTCATGTTCCCATCGAGACTCACAATCGCTATGATTACATTTGTGGCTGGAATAATGTAGGTTGTCAGCTCGTCGCAAAAGACCTAACCCGGCACCAGGTGTAAAGTCTAAATCGAGTATAGCTGCGTTTAGACCTAGTCGAGGAACAAGGCAAGCAACAAATCTCTAAACCATGCTCTTTTTCTCTCCCAAAATAAAAGACTTGCGACGCACTCAAGGGACTGTGGTCTGACCCTGCCGTAATGAAATACATATTTCTGTAGTTTTTCACGTAAACCTAAAAAAAAAAAAAAAAAAAAAAAAAAAAAAAAAAGAAAAAAAAAAAACACAGACTACAATATAAACAATCGAGGTACATAAGTATACAACACATATTCAATATGAACACAAACGACACATTTAACTTACTAGTAGTAATATTTAAATTAAGACAGAAAACAAACAAGAAAAATGACAAAGTACAAAATAGAACAAGTCACAAGAGATTGTGGTTAATAGTCTGAACAACAACACACATAAGAGTAAAAAAGTCCGTGGACCTTGAAGACAGTCTAAAAATAGTATACACAACAACACAACGTAATATAAATAAAGTAACAACTACATAATCAGATGATAACCATAAACATACTGAGAATCACAGTGTCACAGACACATGTACACATATATATCTTAATCGACGTTCCTCTCAGTATCTGTTCATTACAACAAATGTGATACTACGACTGTCCATATGTTTCGTGCTCCAACAAAACAACGCGACTATGACGAAGGACACTACCGATATATACACAAAATGAAAGGTGTCTGCGGAAAGTCCTAGTCGATTGTAGTCTGCTGCAGTCGTACGACAGACACACACAACAAAAACACACACAACACCACAGATACACACAACATACACAACCAAAGAAGACAAGCTTTTACTACAAAGTCCAGTCCTTTAAAATTGTATGTACATTTAATACAAAACACAATAACAAATACACAAAAATACAAACAGAATACAAAAAATCAGAACAATTTTATCACTTTCATTTTGTATATTTACAAGTCTTATCCACGACACACTACTCAATATGTTCAGTAACTTACAAAAAAAAAAAAAAAAATAAAAAAAAAAAAAAAAAACGAGTGAGACAGGTAGCGTGCAAAAGTAAAAGTGGAACCGAGAGTGGTACGAGAGACAGAACGAGAGCAAGACAGACAGACATTACGAGAGCGAGACAGTTTGTCCCCGTACCACTGGTTGAAAACCACTGCTGTAGATCACTGCCGGTACGTGCGCTGGGAGCGCACCGTTTAAGTTTGAAAGTTGAAAAGTTTGTGTGTCTGAAACGCTATGTGATACAGTACAGTTTACACAGTACATGTTCTGTAGCTACTATTGCACTAAATGGTAACACTTGAATACGTTATGCAAATATGCAACTTGTTTGTTGAAATGTTAATAAATGGGAGCTTCCTCAAACAGCCATCTCTTTCCCGACAATCCCCTCTGTGCACGAACCCTTACATATGGTTATTAAACATTAAAACACCTGCGGCTTATAGTCCAGTGCGGCTTATATATGTACACATCATTCAATTTAGCTGCTGCGGCTTATATTCAGGTGCGCCTTATAGTCCGAAAATTACGGTACTACTAATCCACTCAGTAGTATACAAGGTATCAGAAATGTGCCACACAGTGAGGAACTACAGCATTAAACAACTCTTATGTTTTTCTTCTTGGTGCCAATTCTTTGTTTTCCCAGGAACGGGTGCAGGGCCGTATTTCACCATAAACATAAATCTTGTCGATGCACTCAAACCAGACCTGTGTGCACGCAGGATTCGTTTCACAATTGCATCCCCGATCCCGTTGTAGACGGTCTTCCCGTCGGCACAGCTGATGAAGAACTGGTTCTGAGGGCAGAGAGGAGACAGATGGTGGCTCGGTGTGAGAGGAGGGATAAAACAGGTAGGAAGCTGGCAGAGGACGGGTCTGTGGTTCAGAAACATGAGACCTCGCGGTTAGACACATGTTGGCTGAAGACATCTCTCAGGGATATGTGAAGTTAGGGGGTGAAATGGTATAAAAGTCAAAAGGAATCACACGCTGAAACATCAGAATGAGAGGTTTAAATTTTGTAAAACAAATCAATGAAAGCATAGATTGACATTATCATTATATAAAAAGGTACATACTGGCCGAAGCACTCCTTCTTACCTCTATGTAGATGTAGTGTTCGCTGTTCTCGATGGTGTGGATGTAGGCGTTCAGGATCGAGTTCTCACAGATTCCAGTAGACCACCGGTCTGCAGAGCGCAACACCTGGAGAATTTTTTTTTAAAAAGTCCATGACACATGTTCTTTTAGGGGTTTAACACTCAAACATATCAATCTACCTACTAAAGTATATACAATCTTTGATTAGCAACTAACTCTTCTTTTCACACTCATGTTCTCCTGTGACAAAATTAACTTTAGCAATCAAGTTTTTTAAATGTACGTGTATTAATTAAGGCAGTAAAATGTAACCCTTAGAAAAGAAGAAACCAAGATATTTAGGAAATAAAAAAAGTGTCCTCTGCTCAGAAATGGTATTGATAGGAAACTTGCCTTTCATTAATCATATTCAGGCAGTAGCCTACACACCAACAATGAAACACATGAGCACATACTACGGTTAAAAAAAGCAGAAATAAAATCTGAGCGAGCAGAAAATGTTAAAAATACAGTTACGCTAATGACACTATTTTCTAAACATATAGATTCAACTACTTAGTACAAATGAACCAAAGAAAGTGAAATCCATAAAGCAGATTCAAGCAGTAGGCGTATAAATTCACACTTAAAGTATTAGCCTACAGAACAGTACAGCTTACAGAGAATAAATACAATCTGCTACTTTAACAACAAACACTATATGTTCTTTTTAGTCACACAGTAATCCTGTTAGTAATATGCATACGCTCTGAAAAAGTGAGTTATTCATAATGTGTCCCCTTTAAGTTATTACCACTAAATATAGATACTGAATACATTTCTTTAATAGATTTCTTTCTTGTTATATATTCAGACAGTGACATACTCTTCTTGCTTTAACTACTTATTTTACATATGTGACACTCTAAGCTCTACAGCTATAACAAAGATTGAGGAAGTGTCCCTGCAGCCTGAACAAGGGATCAGGAAAACCTGAAGTCACAGCATTATAAGAGGCGAGGATTAGATTACAGGCCAGTGCCCACAATAGAAGAAAATACACACAGCAAAAGCTATTGTTACCCTATACTCCCTTTCTAAACACTTCTAAACAATAGCACAGAGTGAGAGTGAAAGCCTCTGTCGTGTCAGTTTTGTTGCGTTTCTCATAATCACGACCCCAGTTCCCATGAAGCCTTTTGCAAATGAGATTCCTCCACCCTGTGTTTGGCAGTGCCTTTGTTTTCTCTGGCTTTACTTAACAGTACAAACATGTTGGAAGTGATTTTTTTCTCCTCTTGTTCCACCATCTGCCATCACAAAGACAACTCTGAATACTTGTAAGCTGCACTTCAACCCAGAACAGTGTCTCATTGTTGCACTGTAAAGCCATCCATGTGATTTCCTTCTCGTTCGGACTGAGAGTCGTGCAGTGTAGAAACACACAGTGGAAACAAGTATGGGCCTAGGCAATGGTGTTGTTTGTTTACAGTAGAGATGTCCCGATCCGATCACGTGATCGGGGATCGGAGCCGATCACGTGATTTTCAAAAGATCGGAAGAAAAAAAATTGGGGATCGGGATTTAAAAAAAATTTTTAAATACTTTTTTTTAATTTTGTATTCAATGTTACAAGACAAAAATGACCATGTTCAAGTCTTAAAGTCATCCTGAGGCCTTAGTTTTGGTTTCAAATTACACAACATCATGTATGTGTTGCTTCTTTGGGGGCTTGTTTTCATAGACCTATTTCTCTCAAATCTGGCAACAGAGTGGGCGCAGTGTCTAATTGTAGCAGTAAGCTAACGAGTACTGATAAGCTTTATTTTATTTTGATCCAATGCTGCACAACTGAACTGATCCAATGCTGCTGTGAAAGAAAGAAGCTATATCCATGTTGGATAGAATATCCAATTTAAATAAAAAAAATAACCTTAAGGGACAACTTGAATGCTTTTTTTCTTTTTTTTCTCTTAATGCATTGCATAAAGATCGGATCGGGAAAAATCGGTATCGGCAAATTGTCAAAATCAAATGATCGGAATCGGATCGGGAGCAAAAAAAGGTGATCGGGACATCCCTAGTTTACAGTAAATACAGTTCACCAACTTTCCAAAACATGGGAAATTACCAGCAGGAGGTTTCTTTTACGAAACTTGTGCTTTGAGGTGTTTTTCGTTTTAATTTAATCCTAACCCTTTTGTTTACTTCTGTGACATAAGGACATCTCTATGTTAACACTCGTACTTCCATTGGCTAGTGCTCCAACACATAGTACGTGATAGGCTAAGGGGCGGGACATTACTAAGCGGTTGTCAAATCACAACAGAGCCGGCCAGCTAACCAATCAGAGCAGACTGGGCTCTGGTTTCAGACAGAGGGTGAAAAGAGGTGCTGCAGCACAGGCAGTATGAGAAAAATAAAGAGCTTTTTGAACATTAAAGCATGGAGACATGTCACAGTAAAGACACTACATACTGATATGAACCTGAAGATGAGACTTAAATGACCTCTTTAAGCCTTACATTAAACATTATGGTAGTTTTCTGTGTCATCGGTTTGTGTGTAAAAGACTTTTCACTTTCTCTCTACTAACCGTGGGTGGACCTGTAACACTAACATCTCGTGGAAACAGTCTTTGTCAAAGAGACTGTATGTGTCAAGGCTGAAAAGCACTACATTATTCCAACAACTGAATATGGCAGTGAGTTACGAGGAGAAACAAAAAATCACTTTGATAAGTCGACCACACTAGATTTTCCTTCAGGTCACTGACTGCTGTTCGTGTTCAAGTCATGTGGATCAATGGTCCTTCACTTTTTATGATATTTGTTCAGTACATGTGGCTAATCAAATATTCCTATTAGACCTCTATGTATTTGCTCAGATAGTGAGCTGTGGTGCTTTAATACCTGCACTTTGGCCTTCTTGGATCCGGGCACGGTGAACGAGGGTGAGTCAGCGGTGGAGTGAGACTTGGGAAGGAGGTAAGGGTAGAATTCGTCCTTGTACTTGTTTTTGAAGATCTGGAGGAGACAAAACACACGAATGAGTTGGAGATTTCAGCTGGTTCCTGTTTACTACAGAAGCTTTCTTGAAGAGTTAGTACAAGTTCATTTTACAACTTACTATCCAAGTCATTATTTTGAAGTTGTGGCTTATACAACAAATAGATTAGCATAACATAGAAGAGGAATCTCAATGGGGCGATGGCAACACAAGTCTGACATCGATTTGTTGGGTCCCTTTTGTCAGATAAAGAATGAACTACACTTATATAATTAATATTATAATAAAAGTAGTGGCTGAATAGGACTCGTGTGATCCAACTTTCCAACAGTCCACATTTATTGAAATAAGACAGATTTAATAGTTTCCAAAACTCACAACTTGTTTCTATCTTATAAAAAAGTCTGCTGAAGCTTCTATACGATGACTTCAACGTATAAACTTGGCTTAAACCACCAAACGATAGTAAGATGAACGGGAGTAAAGCCACCTGAAAGCTTTTGTAGACTCATTTGTAAAGCATAGCACTAATACAACATTTAAGAGGATGTTTGCAATATTTATGTGTACAGCAATATTAATAATAAAGCAGCGAAGGCCCTGTCGCCCCAGGTCAGGAGCTCAGTCCTCAAAGGTATGGACGATCAAGGCCAAACATATGACGAGAGAGAGTTTTAATCTGACCTTGGAGAAGTTCCAGCGCTGGATGAAGTGACGGGCTACATCCCTTGCAGCTCGGCCATGAACGGCTGCAGACAGGTCACGCCACGGCATGCGGGGAACTTGAGTGCGGTCGACGTTATCTGAAATAAATATATATAGAAGAAGCAATCGTTTCAGCTCCCTGTTGTCCGAGCCTCTCAGTGTGTGCTTGAGAGAGTTTTACACAGCATACCTTCAAACGGTCTGTCCAGTTGCACCCAGTCTTTCTTGATGAAGTTGTTGTAGTCTTTGCCGATCCACAGCTTAGTGTTTCCCGTCAGGTCGTCGAGGTTCTGCTCCGCTTCTGGTTCAGATGGTTTTGACACACCGTTGTCCTGGTGAGAGAAACATGTGTTAGTGTCTGCAGAGAGTGAGACATCTGGAGAGCACACGGTCTAAAAAATGCTGCTCCCAAAACAAGTTAAACAATATTGAAAACAAGCTGTTTTCACTCGAAATAAGTCAGGCCCGGTTCTACGGGGGTGCATAAGGGTGCATTGCACCCTCAGTTGAGTCGTTATGCACCCTCATTTGAAAAATGAAAAGTGAAAAAAAAAAATATTAAAAGGTGAAAAAAATGAAAAGTGAAAAATATTACATATATAATAACAATAATAGTAATAATAATAATAATAATAATAATAATAATAATAAGAAGAAGAAGAAGAAGAAGAAGAAGAAGAAGAAGAAGAAGAAGAAGAAGAAGAAGAAGAAGAAGAAGAAGAAGAAGAAGAATATAGTTGAAATAAAATAAATTGTAATTGTGTCGGCTTTGCCCGCCTCGCCCACAGAGGCGGAGCAGCCCCAAACACCGCCACCCCTCAGCGGCCCGCAAGTGCCAGAGGACCTCGGCAAAACAGAGCCTGCCCAGGTATATTTAAAAAAGTACCCAACTCGCCTGTACAGTGGGGTAAGGCGCTGATTTTGCAGCTCATGGTTTCAAAACAGAGATTGGCTGTCCAGAGATCTCTTAAGTTTGCTCTAAAAGTGGACCAGATTGATACTTTTAACTTCAATATTTAAATAAAAA